GTCGCATACATGAAGGTAACACGTCCCCATCTCGCCAAGCTCGATCCCAGGGGGCTGAAGGTCGTCTTCATCGGCTACGAACCCGGGAGCAAGGCGTACAGACTCTATGATCCTGTGGGGGGGCGAGCTCACGTGTCTCGCGACATCGTCTTCGACGAAAGCACCTTCTGGCAGTGGAATGACGTGATCGAGGCAGACCGTAATCCAAATCAATTCACGGTGGAGTACCTCGTCACCGAGCCTGAAGAAGGAGGAGCCCAGCATCAGGAGACGTCACCGCCGCCAGCAGGTGCACCACCTGAACCAGTGGAATTCGCAACACCACGGACTGCGGATTCGACGCTGGATGCCGATCACGATACTGATCTGGAGGCTAGGTACCGGAGGATGGATGACCTAGTGGGAGGAGGTGAACCACCTGGACTAGCAGCGCGCGAGCTCGAGGAAGTGGCCGAACTACATGCCGTCAGTGCAGATGAACCAAACACCTTCGCCGAAGCAGAAAAGAACCCGTGCTGGCGGAAGGCAATGCAGGAGGAGATGACATCCATCACTAAGAACCAGACGTGGAGTCTGGAGGATATGCCACCGGGACACCGAGCCATAGGGCTCAAATGGGTCTTCAAACTGAAGTGCAACGAAAAAGGAGAAGTTGTGAAGCACAAGGCTCGTCTGGTGGCGAAGGGCTACGTCCAGAAGCAAGGAGTGGATTTCGAAGAGGTATTTGCGCCAGTAGCAAGGTTAGAATCCGTTCGTTTCCTGCTGGCAATTGCAGCACATCACTCTTGGGAGGTTCACCATATGGACGTAAAGTCTGCTTTCCTTAACGGAGAGTTGAAGGAGATCGTCTATGTTCGACAACCACCTGGCTTCCTGGATAACGACAACCCTAATAAGGTACTGCGCCTGCACAAAGCACTCTACGGGCTTCGACAAGCCCCACGAGCCTGGAACGCGAAGCTCGACAGTACCCTACTGTCACTGAATTTCAAACGTTGTGCCTCTGAGCATGGCATGTACACGTACGGCCACGGCAAAAAGCGACTGATCGTGGGAGTGTACGTCGACGACCTCATAATCACTGGAGGCGACGTGGGAGTCCTCGGAAGGTTCAAGAAGGAGATGTCGAAAAACTTCGAGATGAGCGATCTCGGTGTGCTCAGCTACTACCTCGGCATCGAAGTGCAACAGAACTCTTCCGGCATCTCCATCTGCCAAAGTGCATACGCGAGGAAGCTGCTGGACACAACTGGGCTTGTGGACAGTAATCCTACCAGGACGCCAATGGAGGCCCGACTTCAACTAAGGAAGGCTGGCACTACGACGACAGTCGACTCCACCAATTACCGCAGCATTGTCGGAAGTCTGCGCTATCTGGTAAACTCTCGTCCTGATCTTGCTTATTCTGTTGGATATGTGAGCAGGTTTATGGAAGCACCTAGGGAGGAGCATCTAGTGGCTGTCAAGCGCATCCTGCGCTATGTAGCCGGAACCAGAGGCTGGGGCGTAAGATACTGCACTGGGAGCGAAAAGGAGAAACTCAAACTGGTCGGCTACAGCGATAGTGACATGGCCGGTGACGTTGATGATCGTAAGAGCACCAGCGGAATGATCTACTTTCTCTCAGGCGGCGCGATCTGCTGGCAATCAACAAAACAGAAGGTAGTTGCTTTGTCTTCCTGCGAAGCAGAATACATCGCCGCTTCGATGGCAGCAACTCAAGGGATCTGGCTTGCACGACTAATAGAAGAACTCATCGGGAGAGAAAGCGATCCACCAATGCTATACGTAGACAACAAAGCTACGATCTCCCTGATCAAAAATCCAGTTTTGCACGACCGGAGCAAGCACATAGAAATCAGATTCCACTACATTCGAGAATGTGCAGATCGAGGGCTCATCAAAATTGATTTCATCCGAACAGAGGAACAACTTGGAGACATTTTCACCAAGTCCCTGGCGCGGGTGAAATTTGAAGAACTACGCTCAAAGATCGGAGTTCAAATAATAAGGTACAGCTTTTAGGAGGAGATTGTTAAATAAAAGCTCTGCCTTATTTAGTTAGGTCTGTAAAAACATATGAGTTCACGCGAATGGAGGAGCGTGATTCTAGGGGCCATTGTTTTGGCAGAGTGGCGGAGTCTTCGTCCACTTATTCTATTTTTGTATATTTGGTTTTTCTATTTTTGTAATTAGATTTATTATTTAAACCATTCAACGGATGTAAAATAAACATATCGAGTCTTCAGCATTACCAGCGAATCTCTCTCTCTCTCTCCTTTTACTTCCGCTAATTTTTCCTTCGAAGAAACCTTCGGCCAATTTTTTCGTCGACATCCGATTTGCCAGAGTCAACACAACCTACTTGACCCGACTAGCAAGATGCTGATAGTGAGTCGCGATTGGCGAGTAGATGAAGCAAGTGAATGGGAGTGGAACAATTCGACAGAAGTCAATATCGAAGTAGGAGAATCATCAGTCGCTACACCAACAAGTGCACCAACAGACTCAGAAATTTTCGATGATGAAGATGAACCACGACAACCCAAAATGCGGAGTTTGCGAGATTTGTATGACTCAACAGATGAGGTACACCTTGTATGTCTTCTAGCAAATGCTAAAAATATTAGCTTTGAAGAGGAGGTGCGAGACACGAAGTGGCAAACTGAGATGAATGAGGAGATTTAAGCAATTCGTCGCAACAACACATGAGAAGTGATAGAATTTCTGGAAGGAAGTCAGCCCATAGGTGTGAAGTGGGTAGTCAAGAAAAAGATGAATGCTCAAGGCGAGATTGAGCGATACAAGGCGCACTTGTTGCGAAGGAATACAAGAACAAGACGGGAATCGACTATGACGAAGTGTTTGCTCCCGTCGCTATAATGGAGACAATCCAATTGATCATTGTCCAAGCAGCCCAATTCAAATGGTCGATTTTTCAAATGGATGTCAAGTCAGCATTCTTGAATTGGAGAATTTGAGATGACAAACTTAGGCTTGTTGAAGTTTTTCCTCGATTTGGAGGTTAAACAAGGAGAAACATGTATTTTTATATCACAGGATAAATATGCAAAGGAGATTTTGAAGAAGTACAAGATGAAAAATTGCAACCTGGTATCAACACCAATGGAACCAAGTGCCAAGCTCTCAAAGTACGATGAAGGAGACGAGTAGATACAAATAGGTACCAGACCCTGATGGGAAGCCTTCGCTATCTTACATACACAAGGCCAGATCTTTCATTAAGTGTCGGCATAATAAGCCGGTTCATGGAGAAGCCAATTTATTCACATTGGAAGGCGTTGAAGCGAGTCCTACGATACGTCCAAGGAATGTTGTCACTTGGGTTATTCTACTAAAAAACAGAAGATTACAAGTTAGTCGGTTACTCTGACAGTGATTGGTGCGGAGACATAGACGATCGGAAAAGTACATCGGGTTATGTATTTTTCATGGGCAACACAACATTTACTTGGCTTTCAAAGAAACAATCGATCGTGACACTCTCGACGTGTGAAGTTGAGTATGTAGCAGCATCTTGGTGTGTGTGTCATGCAATATGACTTAGAAATTTGTTGAGTAAGATGGAGCTGAAGCAACAAGGTGCAACCGTAATACAAGTTGACAACAAATCAGTAATTGAGTTGGCCAAGAACCTAGTGAACCATGAAAGAAGCAAACATATTGACGTTCGATTTCATTTTATCCGAGATCATGTGAAGGAAGGAAACGTGAAATTGCTGCACGTGGCAAGTCAGAATCAAGTTGCGGACATTTTTACAAAACCGCTACCGAAAGTACTTTTTGACAAATACAAGAAGATGATTGGTATGACAGACGACACCATCATTTAAGTTTAGGGGTAGTTTTGTTGGGAATAAACTTAAATGAAAAAAAAAAGTAGTTTTAATTTTGTTAATTTTAGTAAGGTTTTTGAAATTTGAGTTGAAGAGTCCAAAGAAAAAAAATGAAGAAGAATCATCACGACAGCGTGGGTTATGGGATAGCCATTTTAGATTTTAGAAAATCTATAAATTATTTAGTTTTTCATCCGAGCAAAAGTTACATGGTTAAAAACAGGAGTGTAATAGAAAAAGGCTTTTCAGAATTTCTTTTGTCTCATTGTCTCTCTCCGACATCTCCTTCACCGTCTCGTGAGTGTTATTTTAATAAGTGAGTTTCAGAACGAGCGTTTATTTCTACAAATAAACTGATATCGAAGCGAATTTTATTTCATAAAGATTATGGTTCGTTATAAGAGGGGAACTTCCGGGCTTGGACCCAAGAGGGGTAGGAGAGAAGGGTCGAGGAGGGCATCAGACAGTACAACACCTTACTCGGGATGAGGCTAGAGAATTGCCTCCTATTGCCAACAGAGTTGTGCCGCAGGCGCGAGTGCCTAGGAGAGGTCAGAGGAGGACCGCGACCCCAGATTCCCCTGAGTCAGTCCCTCGAACACCCGTGCAAGAGGAAATGCCACCAGCTCAGCACGCACTCCCAATTTTTAATGGTTACAATAAAAATGATGTCAAGATGCATTTGGTAGCAAAATGGAAACCGTCTAGAAAGTTGAATGGTTACAATAAGAACCAATTTTTAATGGTTAATTTCATGTTTTAAGAAATCAAACCATTAGAAAACTAAAAAAACCAAACTTCTAATCAAACTAAGATTTGAAAACATCTTCAAATTTCCAAACACATACGATCATACATTTCAATTATCAAAACCATGACAAAAACATGCATACACCACAAAGTTCCCCATATTACGAAGATATAAAACATACCCCAATTCCTCAAAACCCTCAAAAATCAACCTTGTAATCAATCAAGAAGCCCGAAAGATGTCAACTTTGAAAGCGATTGTTGTGCTGTTTTTCCTGATCATCTCAAAAACACAGCAATCCGCAACTTTCAAGTCATTGTCCACAAAAAACTTCCTCCAACCACTTCTCAATTCAACCCTCCTTTTCATTTGTGGAGTCAAATAAGAATAGTAAGTAACGCCCCACGTTCTTCCATCTGAATCCTGAAGAACCATCTCTGCACCCTCTTCTATATGCATCTCCGCAAATCTTCTTGGCACATTCTTTTCACAAGTAATTAAAACCCATTATACAAAATGTTGTTGATGCAAAATTATACTAAACCCATCATTTTAAATTTGCTTACAAGATACGCTCCTGACTGAATGTGTGAAGGATAGATCTTGCACATAAAAGAAGGGTTGGGAGTCATAGATTGGAAAGTAGTAGCTTTGGCCATCGCCCCCGCTCGTTCGCTCGTTCTGGTCATCGACCGCAACTTTCTCTTGTTGTTCATCAGTTTCATGGCGCCAAAGCTAGCTTTCCCAACTTTCAAATTTAGGGTTTTTTTTGTAAGTTGGTTGTTAATTAATCGGTGGTTGTGTGAAAATAAAGCGAGATACTAAAAGATCAAAAATAAAAATCCCATTTTTGTCTTGGTTTGTAAGTAACAATGGTCCGTGTTTTCTTTTTTTCTTCCTTTAAATAGTTATCAGTTGTATGTTGTGTTCCAAGATTATTGAGAAGAATAATCTTATATGGGCTATATTATAAGTTTATAAACAAGTTACACTATTTCTCATGTCATGAGCCCTTTTTGAAAAAAATAAAAAACATAAGATTATCTTATGCTTAACGTGGACAATATCATACAATTGTGGAAGTTCGTGGTTTCTAATATAGTATCAGAGTCATGCCCTTATCTTAGTCATGTCAATAGAACCATTAAGTGTCAAACAAAGAAATTGTTAGCTTCAAAGGTGTACTTTGTTTGAGGGCTCTAAAGAAGGAGTCGAGCCTTAATTAAGGGGAGACTGTTTGGGATTCTCTCCAAAGAATGAGGCTCAGGAAGACTCTATGCTGGTAAGTTTTCGAGGGCTCTAGAGAAGAAATCGAACCTCGATTAAGGGGAGACTGTTTGGAATCCTCTCCAGAGAATGAGGCTCTGGAAGATTCTAGAGTTATGTAAATAAGAAAAACTATCTATGACGATTGAATTACCTTAATTAGTTTTTTTTCCTGCTTCGGTTATTCATTTTAGATCGAGCTTAGTAAGTAACTAAATTCTCATTATGAAACAAGAAACATACCTTGAGGGTGAGGGTGAGAAATTAGGTGAAGATCATCAAAATTTGTCCCCATGTTTAGCTTCTTTTTTAGTGGATACTTGATTTCCGTAGCAGTAGGATCAAAGATAACGACATGGAAGCACGAAGATCGGAGTTCATATTTGAACACAAGAAAGTACTCCAATCCAACGTTGTAAAACTCCACAAACTTCTGCCACCCATAATCAAACCACACTCTTCCATCACTCTTTGTGACACCCACTTCCCACTCTTCCCCATCAGCCACCTTAACCCTTGTTGGGTTATTTTCGAAGGCTTTCAGACCATATTCTCCCACAAACTTCTTCGGAATTTCCTAAACCAAATGAAGAGGATAAGGTTTGTGTTCAAATACATAACAACACATATAGATACAATAACTGTGCTTACAAGCTTTTGTTCCTTGAGAGCATGAGCAAGAACAACCTTAAAGAAATGGGGGTTGTCGGGGGCTTTACAGGGTTGACTGGAAGAAGCCATGGCGGGGAGCTGTTGTTGAAGAAATTTGGACATTCTTATTGATCTTCAAATCAATTAATCCACCCTCGTGTTTGCTACTCAGTGGAGTGTTTACAGATAGCTTTTTAGAGGAATTATTATGTGTCAGTCCCATTGTGGGGATATTGAGAAATTGGGTGAACTCAAGATATACAAAATCTTCCTATTAAATGGATTCAACTCAAGTAATTAATGACGAGGTTGGTTTACTTTGTTTCAAAAATATTTTGAAATTGGTATTTATTTGGTTTATAAATTTTCAAACTTATAAATTAAGTATTAAACTTCAAACTTGTAGAAATTCATGATTCTAGAGGCAATGTACAAGTCATTATAGTAAGTTGTGTTCTAAGCTTTTCCTTTCGACAAATTTTGTTGGTTTAATTCTAACTTTGTTTGTTTGGGGTTAGGAAAAAAATTGTCTAAGCGTCGATTTTAATTACCTAATTGTTCTTCCAATGATGGCGTAAAACTAAATATTGAATTACATACATGCCTAACTCCGACAATCATAAAAAAGTTAAGTAAAAAGAAAAGAACATGTTCTAGAAATTAGAGGGTAAAAACCGATCAAAATTGACCAAACTTCAGCTGAAAAATAAGGCCAAACGGGAGGAAAATCACAAAAAGAAGCTTTCTTGAAAAGGATCGATCTGCCTTGGGTCCATCTTCTATCAGCCCATGTGGAGGTCGTAGCCCAACCATCTTCGTCACGAGCTGACCCATTAATCCGTTTTCAGACCCAGAAACCTGTATTAGGTAAACTAATCTGGTGTGATGAACTTAGAACAGATTTGAACTAGCTTCAAAGATAAATTAGTGACGATAGCTTAAGCTATGCAGGTAAGTGGCTCTATTATTAATTTGGTTGGATGGAATAAATGAAGTATGAATAACACGTGCTTTGTGGTCCTCCACATGTCATATTTTATGACTTTTATAGCATGCATTATATTATGTGATACTATGACTTGTGTTATGCTATGACTATGTGATGATGTGTTAATGACTTACGTTATGCTATGATATGTCATGCAAACTATGTTAGCATGATTAATTCTGACTATGAAATATTGTTATGCCAAGTATGTATGCATGAAAATGTTTATGAAAGAACAAAGGTACGAACTGGATCTTACATTTATGATATGATTTACAACTATGGGACCTCATTCATTTTTTATGTCATGTCCATCAAGATACTTCCCATTATAATGTGTACGTTATGATATCTATGTACTTTATGATATTATGCAGGTCCCTTTTCTTCATTGGTTTTGGCAATGTGAGTGATGTACTCTATGATATTATGCGGGCTCGTGTGAGTGATGTACTCTATGATATTATGCGGGCTCCTTTTCTTCATTGGTTTTGGCAGTGTGAGTTTGCACTAGCTAAAGGGCAAGCCCAGGATACGTATACGCCCGCCTGGTGGGTCCATGTATGTGAGGCGCGTGTATAAAAGTACTATACTTCTAACTTTAGCTTAAATTGAAAAGGAGGGTTTAATGCCATTAAATACTTTATGAAAAAATAAGTCCTATCATAATTGCTTGTGTATGCATTTTGTATGCATTTTCAATAGTAGAGTCCCTTACTTAAGATACTGTCATATTTTGAGACAAAGGTAAGACACTCATGTCCGATTGATGACTCCCACAGTGGGACGGCCATGGGACCAAAATTAAGGTAGCTACATTAATGTTATTTTTCCACCTTGTTTTAATGACTTCATTAGGAACAAATAAGTCCCCGGCCATGGGACCAAAATTAAGATAGCTACATTAATGTTATTTTTCCACCTTGTTTTAATGACTTTATTATGAACAAATAAGTCCTCGGTTCTTAAATCACCACCTTGTTTTAATGACTTTATTATGAACAAATAAGTCCCCGCTTCTTAAATCACCAATAAACTCACTTTCTAATTCATTGATAATTTAACATGGTATATTCAAACTCGGTAATGTCATTAGCCCTATAATTAACATTGATTTCTACTAATGGTACCTTCTTCAAATTTTCAAGCCTACACATAAGGAGCATTAACATATTAATATCATTAACTTTACGATAATCCATCCGTTTAAGCTTTTGTGTCGAACGTGTCGAACGGTGAAGTATGAATACAAAGAAAAGTTGAAAATAAATGAATAAAAAAAACTAGATCACTTTTAAGATGAAGTTCCTAAAACTCAATCTAACAAACTCATGAGAGAAAAATAAAAGGGGCAAGGAGATATTAAAAAGTTGGTTCCATAAACAAAATGAGTCTCCAAATTCATGCTCTTGTGAGTACTCAACCTCGACACCCCGATCGAAAAATGGTAGCTTTAAACGATAGCTCACTGGTTTCCATCAACTCAAACACACAAATATCACCCTTTTTCAACCCATTATCTCTCGCAAAATCCCTCCAACCCCCTCTCATTTCCACCCTCTTCACACCATGAGGCCACCTTTCACCGCACAAGATCTTCCAAACCCTTCCATCCGACACTTCAACACTCATCTCCTTCGGACTCTCCATGTGGGCATTTGCAAACCATTGTGGAATACTCTACAACAACACCCAAATTCAATCAAACCAACAATCTCATAACAACAAACAACAAATAAGAAGATCATTACCAGATAGCTCTTCCCTGTATGAAGATACGAAGCTCCCATTGTTACCATAAATGAAGGATTCGTCGTTAAAGATTGGAACTTTGTGGCTTCTTCACTAATTGAAAACCTCTCCCTTTTTTTAACTTTCCCTCCACAACCTAATGGATACTCAATCTCCGAAGCGGTTTTATCGAATATAACAACATGGAAGCATGAGTTTCCTTCGTATCTAAACGTCAAAAAATGACCAATTTCAACGCTGTAAAACTTCACAAACTCTTCCCATCCTTTTTCAAACCATATTTTTTCATCGTTTTTTGTCAAACCCACTTTCCATTCTGCCCCACTCGCTACCTTAAGACGCACCTCTTCAGTTTCCAAGGCCTCCCCATGTTTTCTAACGAATTTGTGCGGAATAGCCTGAAAAAAACACAAATTTTTAAAACCCCATTTGATAATACGGATTATGAAAAGGAACAATGGTGGAAGAGATGAAGAACTTACAAGCTTTGATTGATTGAGGGTTTGTGGGAGAATGACCTTGAAGAAATGGGGCGTGGCGGACTCGAAAGAGGAAGCCATGGGCGAGGGGCGTTGGATGGAAGATTAGATATGAAGAGGTTTTCAGCAGTTTTCTTGGTTCATTAATGTTCAAACTGTCTCTCACTTATCAAATGGGGAGATGGGTTATCATTCAAATTGTTGTTGAATTGAATTAATTGACGTGAAATCCTCTCAGGATATTCATTTTTTGAATCTGGTAGGATCTGTTTCATATCTTTTTAGATTTTTTAATTTATTATTTTTTTTTCTTAATTTTTGGATTATAGTTTACATGAACCTAATTTTTTTTTATCTATTTTGGTCCAATTGGTTGATTTGACATCTTTGTTTGATTTTATGACCTATTTAGGTGAGGTTAGAATGAGCACTATAATAGCTGAAATAGCTGAAGCTCATCACTCGCCGATAATGTTGAGTGCGTAATAGAAGTTGATTAAATAAGTTAAAATTGGATTAAAATTTGAATTGATCCAAAATTTAATTAGGAATGAATAAAGATGGAGAGGTGCGGAATTTGAGGAGTTTGAACAGGAAAGGTTAGGTAGGGGAGCAATGGAAGGGTTTTAAAATAAGGGTTCGGTTATAGCTCTCAAGATTTGATTTTCTTCCATCTTTCTCTGTTAATCAAAACATCTCTGACCCATATGCCTTCTTCTTCTACCATTTTTGTTTTTCTATCCCTTTTCTTCCCTTCAATTACTCTACCTATGATTAATGAATTACTATACCTATGAATAGGAAAGGTCTTCAAGTTCCAATTGTAGTCCCTAGTCCACTTTTTAGACTGGCTTAGGACATTGTAGTAATAGAAGTGTTCATACTAACCACCTACCTACGTAGTCCCTGATCACTTTCAAGGTGGGTTTATGAGTCCCGGCGTCAACCTTGACTCTTTCCTACACTCAATAGGGACTCTCCTCCTAACCTCTACCCATGTAATCCCTAGTCCAACAAGGACCGGTTTACAGTACGTTTATTTCTACACTCGATAGGGGTCCATACCTTGAGCTAACTACTTATGTAGTCCCTAGTTCTTCTCAAGAACCGGTATAACGGGATCAGGATGTTGGCCCTGACCCAATTCTACACTCAATAGTAACTCAATTAGTTTCGTGATTATGTAAGCTACTTAAATCATGTTTAGACATCATGGAGGTTTACTAGGTTCTTAAGGGCATTCATGCGGTTTAAAATGCATTTCTCAGTTATAGGACGTTCGGGGTTAGCCTCTCGGCTTAACCAATTCCTAGGTGCACATAGGTTTAACTTCTAATTCTACATAAAAATTGTACTAGTTATAATACCCTAATCTTAACTGAGTTCTTGATGCATGCTCTATTAGGAAAATAAATATAACTATCAACTTTGATAGGAACCAAGAGACATCAATCATACAATATACTCTAATGAAGATATGTGAAGATTAAAATGCGGTTGAAATTATCAAAAGATATTTCAATTCATGCCACATCGGAAAAAGAATGAAGCTTCGTTGTTATAAAGTTTGGGTGGATTACAATTTAGAATAATTTAGAGTTATTGTATTTCATTAATATATTTTAAGACTGTTTATTTACTCTAAAGTTACATTTATATGATGGCTAATTATAACCATAAAGTATACATAGTTGTTGATTATGGTCCTAAAGTAAGAATGTTACACTCACACTCTTAATGTCTCATGTAAGGTAAGAGTTTCATTTTGAGGCTATATAAAGTCATGTATGTTGTATTTGTAAGTAGACTTGAAAAATGCATTTATGCTTCCATTTAGGTTGCATGTAGAATCATCCAAGCTCGACATGATCAATCTTGCTTGTGAAGTGATTCGAATCTCAAACAAGTGTTCGTATCTTGAGATATTTGATCAACAAGAATCATTCTAGTTGGACATGATCGATCTTGCTTGTGAAATGATTTGTATCTCATACAAGTGTTTTGGGCTTGAGATATTCGATCAAACCGTCTTTTAACACGTTAGACGTGTTCTTGGCTTCTCTTGGATTTATTCCATATCAAATCGTCTTTAACACGTTAGACATGTCTACACATTCACAGATGTTTATTAAGAAAGTATGTCTACCAACCCCTTAATGCACGGAAAAAATAAGGTATGAACCATATCACAATCACACAAGCTCAATGGAGAGATAAAATTCATCAATCACCTAAAACACATATCAGAATATTCCTTCCTCCATCATACCACAAAAGAAGACATTATATTATTAGGCATGCTTCTCAATTGTCTTGTTCTAAGGGAAATTTTTAATTTTGTAATATACGTGTGTCATAATTATCTAAATTGTTCATCCTTGGTCATATTGACCCATATTCTAACCACTTAAGGTTCATCATACTCCCATCCTAACTTGTTCTAGCGATCCCTACAAGTATTACTTGTTTAAAATCCAGGCAGTTGGGCAAGTTCCATGCTAACCAATTTGTCGAGATCAATGAGCGAGGAGGAAGTTCGTAGGCACTCAAGGCATGACTCCATCATAGGTTCCGACCCATAAAAAATTATCATACCGTTGTGGACACTCTCCATATTCTCTAGTAAGATTTATTTGGCTTCTCCCGGGTAGGCCCTTAACATAAAAATCATAAGCTGTCCCTAACCAACTCGTGAATAGCATCCCGGATGGGCGAGCAAGAAAGGGTCGATTAAAATCAACATAGGGGCAGGCCATTGTGTCATGTGAAATAGCCAAAATTTTAGATGACCTCTTCAAGATGAATCTAAATCTAACCAATTATAAACATAAATTGACAAAGCTATCTGGTTGAATTCCAAGAGCTACCTTAGAATCTGAGCAGATTCAAATTCAAATAATTCCTATCTTCTCCAAACAATATAACAACTAATTAAAAAAATAATAATTGATTCTTCTAACTCTATCAACAAATCACCAATACCAAACTCAAGTTGCTTGGGAACCTTCTTCAACCAAAGCCAGCGTTCCCTCTCTGATAAAGGAAGGATTCAAGAACTTCGCCACAAATGCCCACAGTTTATAAACGTCTTCGAAGTTCGTCAAGAATCCTAACGAAGCTGTTACGACCTCAAGCCGTGCAAATCCGTGCTCCCCACGCCTTCCATTCTCGGCTTGCTTGCACAGGGACGATTCTTCAAGGTTTAAAACGCCACGTTGCCGTTTCGGGCTGTCCAAAACCCGAATGTGACTAAGGAATCCAATGCCAAGAGATATGCCATCTCTTTCAGCTACCTTCTGAACAAATTCTGGATTGATTAGTCCTCTGTTTCTGTTCCTCACATTGAAAGCTACTGCTGCTCCTCTTTCATATTTTATCTTTGGTCCATAAATCTGAACCAGATTCGCTTTGTTGTTTCCTTCCGAACCCTGAAACTTTAACTGAAGCAACGACGTTACGAGCCAATTTATCAAAAATCGAAGTCGAAGTGTTGTCTTGTTCAGACCTAACATGTTTATGTGATCGAGATGTCGACATATAATCTCGGGTTCCCTCCTGTTCCACGTTTCCTCGTCGTCATATTCTCCATTGCTGGTATACTCTTCATCATCCAGGCTCGTCATTATTACTTCCCCCGGCTCGATGCTATGGTTTAACTGCTCGTTACCATTATCTTCCATTCTAAACGAAACTCGTCTTACATGCTTATTTCCTTCCCTTCTCCCTAGCAACCTGAATTCACCTTCTGTTTCCCTTCTAATGGCACTCTCCTTTGTCTCCGGACATATTTCCGAGGTGCCGTTGGAAAGTGGTTTACTAGCTTCTGTTGCTTCGCGGATCTCGGTAACAACTCGGTTATTGGAGTCCTTTTCTATATTAGCTGACATGGCACTTGTTCCTGCAAAGAGTTCTCTGGGAACCTCCTCGACACAGTCGAGTTCCTGACATGCGGACTGGACAGCAGCATCGAAAGATAGTACAGGGTGATCGTCATAATGCCCCGAGTTAAAATCGTTCTCTTTGTCGTATGATGGTTCACTGTGGATCTTAGAAGTTGGCTTAGGAGAGAGTCGTTTGTTCTTCTTGCCTTTTAGCCAATGCTGAGGCAGGGGAGAAGCAAGTTTCTGTGTATGCAATTGACCTGCATTATCAGATCCGAGCGGACTCTGTCCTAAGTCGATCCAAATCGAACAATCCGACGATTCATCTTCACTGAAAACCGGGCTCTTCATCACCTCCCCAAGAGAAATAGTCTCACTTTCCTCAAGTATGGTGCTCGTTCCATCTCGGTCAGAGATGTTGTCATGATCCATCTCGGTTTCAAGAACATCCTGAACCTGCGCAGACGTGAAGGCACCAGAGAAAGCAGGCAGTTGCGACCCCTGACGAGTTTCGGACGTTTTATCCACAACCCCAGCAACTCGATCATCTTCAAATCGACCCACTTGATCAAGATCATCGATCGAGTCACTCAGGTACACGGGATATTCAGGGGTAATCTTCACCATTCCAGAGCCAGTACATCCAGACCGAGTTTGTAAACTCCCCATCACTGATCTCTTGATCAGAAGACATCCAAAACCAGTAGGATCATACCCAAAGACCCTATAAAACGATGTTATGATAAAATCCGGTCGAAAAAGCGATAAACCGAGCGAATCCATATCCTTAGGACCTAACGAACCAGCATCAAGCAAAACATGCCAATTGTTCTGTTGTGCCAGAGCCATCCACTGATACGAATACTTAGCACCAGTCACTCTAGACTGAACAGGAAACACAAACAGACCAACAGACTCCTTCTTCTTCCTCCTCTTGTTCGTTATCCGTTTCCGCAAATCGGTCGAACAAAGCTTCAAACTCGGCCATTTAAACCAAGCATTATATGCCTTAGCACCCTTCTCCTTAGCAAATTGAGCCATCCAATTCACAGATTGGCTCTCATAATCAAACATGGTCAACAATTTCTTATTGGTATGAAAAGGATACGATTCAGCCAGCAATTTAAAAGCAGACCCTCTACTAACAGTGAAAACAAGGCCATATTCATGCTCAGGTATATTCAAATGATCCATAATCCTACTCTTAATATCATGTTCTACTGTCCCTCTCTCAGCACCACCATACAAAGCTTGATTACTCAAATTAGCAGCAATCTCAGACAAACTAAACGTAGAAGACTCCCAATAATGAAGACTTTGAACATAAGAAAACAGCCCAAATCCACAGTAATCAAGACATACCTTAATCAAATGAGAATATTCATTCGAACGAAGCTCATCAATTTTCTCTGAGCTCTGATACTTTGGGTACATTGTGAGAAACTTAGAGAAAGCTTCACGAAGATCAGGAATGGCATCATCAGATTCATACGTACGGTCGGCCGCCATGGCTGTGGCCTTGAGGAACTCGCGTTGAGCTTGAAGCCTAGCGAGCGACCGAGATCGACCCAATCCATTGTCGTCGCCGTCGTTGCGCAGTGGCTCAGAGTCCACATTTTGCGATTTGAAGAGCGACCCATCTTCTGAAGCTTCTTCAAGAGCTTCTCTAAGCTTGTGTTCTTCAAGTTTTCGAAGAATCATTTGGTGTTTTTTGACATCCATCGCTGAATCGTACCCATCTTTTGTTCTACTCCGCTTATCCATAATCAAAGCAACACAGTGAGATAGAGGCTTCCATAGTGAATGATGCATCGCTTGAGCTGCAACACTGCAATGGGGCTTTATTTCGCCATTAAAACCAGCTTCATTTGGGTATGAAATTGAAAACCCACATCAAATTTAAGATCCCCATAAAGGAAATTTGAAAGAAATCGACACCCACAAGAAGAAGAAGAAGAAGAAGATGAATTATTTAAAGGGTCAAACCCTAAAAACACAGGACCCGGATCCCCAAAATTTTCAGGGACACTCGAATTAAGTGCAGAAGAAGAGAAATGAAAAACCCAACAGAAATAAATCCATTGAGCCACAAAATCAAATGCCCATTTACACCATTTTCAATTCAGAGCCACTCTTCATTGAATAGACACACACAGAGCATTAATGCATTTCTTCGAGTGCTCTCTCAGGCGAACTTAGTTAAGGCAGTGCCTTAAGAAACACAGGAAAAGGAAATTTGGTAGTAAAGACTTTCATTCGTTTTTCTTTCAAAAAGGAAAAGAACAGCTTTAGTTTGAACAATTCATCTTTACTCCCATTGAATGAATTGAATGATTTTTTGGCTGTGTGCTTTAAGGACCCCACTGTGACTTTTTTATCTCTGAAATTGGCAGATTAAAAAGTCAAATATTATCTTCGCTGGATTGTCAAAAAAGCTGTTTTCTGTCCAACCAAGAACGCCACTCACCTCAAACCAATTGGTTCTTGTTCTAGATGGATTTCAAGTTTATTTTAATTCCTTTTTTTTTTTTTTCTTTCCGTTAGGACTTGCAAGAAAAAGTATAATGAATTACTATCTCGATCAAGTTTAGTCTCTAAAACCAATGTTTGTTAGAAGTGATCATCAGTGATAGATGGTGGCCAATGGTCGCCAACACCTTTGATATGATCCTTCCAAATGTCTCAACATCAACACTCATTGGTATGATCTTGTTTGCCTGAAGTCATACCTTCTTCAAAGTAATCGATATCTTTTGCTTTGAATCCAAATTTCTACACCGTCTTTAACCAATTGTGTAAGCTCACATTTTAGAAAAAGAAATTTATAATCATTAAGAGATTAAATTGAATTCGGTAGAACTCTCTTCCCAAAAATTTTGTTTATCAAACCTCTATAGTTACCAGCTCTAGTCTTCTTATTTTCACGTTGATTCCTTCAACTTATGGCTTTGCTAAGCCAAAGATTTTGACAAACGGTATCTTAAAGAATGCTCTATTGCTTACTGCAAACTTCAAGTTTCTCACCGAACCCAAAGAACGTAAATTATAGTATAGAATTTTAAAGGAAAAAGAAAGTAAATATTTTGAAAGGACCAAAGAAAAGAACAAAAAAAAGAATGATGATAGTTGAGAAAGTAGCGTTGTAAAAAGCATAAAGAAAAAAGGTAAAACAATTATGATTAAAGTAATAGAAGTGGGATTTCTTTTGCACTTTCCATCTCAAAAAGACCAAGCAAAGTTTACAAACTTTATTTGAAGAACACACAAACCTCATACATTTGATTATTACAATTCATTAACTTTGTGTAAAGCTTGAAACCCAAAAGTCTCCCAATCAATTCAATCAACCACAAAGTCATTATGAGACATAATATAAAGTAAACCCATTAGATGATACAATTAATTTTATAACATAGCTTTTAAAATAAAAAATTTCGAACGAAAAAAACCCATAAATGCAGAAGTCATGGATGATGAGATGAGTTGGATGTCTAGGCTTCAGAACTGTGTTACTCCTTCATCTATTGAGGTTGAGTATGTGGCAGTAGTCGACGCTAGAAATAAGATGATATAGATGACCGACTATCTAAAAGAATTAAGTAAGAAATAACTCGGCATACAGTTGATGAATAATCTAATCTATCATTCAAAGACAAAACACATCACAAAAAGATACTATTCTACTAGCGGTTTAGTGGAAGAAGGTGATATGTGTTTAAAAAGATAGGGAGTGCAAAGAATCTAGCTAACATATTGACATAATGTGTTGATATTGGGGAATTGAGGTTATGCAATGCCTTGGTTGGTCCGGTAGGTTGAAGATATTGATGATGAAGACAATCCTTTAATAATGAAGTTTTGGGTTGACCGGATTAATCTACAAGTGAGAGAATTGTTTAGTTGTGAATCCGTGACATTTACGTATAACTTACTTAATGACTACAAATAATAAATGACCATATATTGAAATTATTATATAAACAAGTATGCATAATAAATGATTATACATTATAGATGATTATATTCTCTAATGTGCTTTGAATATGTACTTCTCTATATTCACGGTACATATCAAAAGGTCATCGATAGAAACCTCTCTCTTTTGTTTTTCATGTTCTTCATCTCGATCAAGTGTGTGAGTTATGCGATCCTAACATGAAAGTGAAGAATTCTCTTAAAGGTCACTCCTTATGACACTGGCACTCACATCACTAAATTAAAACTTCACTTCGTATATTTGCAATTTTGCATTGCACAAAAAAACTTAACGCAACACAGTCTCGTCACATTACAGACCGAAATCAAATCGGTTTCGAAGGATCGGTTCAACTGTTGGGGCTGTGATTTGTAAGCTGTAAAACAAAATACTGGAGGATCCAAAAAACTACTGAACCGATCGTATGCAACAAACCACACACTGCTTTCTCCCCTTGCCACTTAAAAACACACCAGTTTTCTGAGTTCCCAAAAAGTTACTTGCCTCAAAACTCTGTGTCAAAACTACACATAATTTAGCACCATGTTGTTTTATCCCTACATGTCGCAAAACCCTACCGCTACTTAAGATTATAGCTCGGACGGAGTTGAGAGTTTCGCTCGGGCCTACGTTTTTTTATTTGATAAAGTGTTTGAACCCTCTTCTGATGTTTTACACCCCTCCTCTAAACTATGTTCTTCAGTTGTACTCTCTGAGCTTGTTTGGCTGCTAATATCATTCTTCTTTTCGAGGCTTTGGTCTGTTGGCGATGCTGATGCTTGAACTTCCAATAATTCTTTCTCACTGTGGTCATCATTGCCACACCCCAGAGCCATGGTATTGTTTGATTCTACCGCAATTGTTGGTATCTTTTTAGTTATTGGACATTCATCAGAAGGACAGTAGTTATCACCATTCTTTCTCTTTAGGCAATGCCTTTCCTTTTCTTTTTCACTGATGACGTCTTCGGCAAGCTCATCGTTTTCAGATTGACGTTGTGATAGTTCCTCATTTCCATGGTTGAGATGATTTGGAGGTTTAGTTTCTTTTGAGCCCTGCTGTAGGCCTGAGAAGCTCAGTGACCTCTTAACAGAATTATGATCCTTTATCTCGTCACTCTGTAGTATATTCTGCTTCTCGTTTTCAGATTCATCTACAGCATGATGTTCCATTGTTTCTAAGAGATTATCATTAACCTTAGGAGAGCCTGCAGGATTAACTTCAAAATTGGTGAAGGACAACGACCTCTTGGCAGAAGCAAGATCGGTCGGATTCTGCACTGAACTCGGTTTTGAACGTTTGGTTTGGATGAGAAAATGTGCAACAGACTTGAACCCCATCCTTGCTATCTATACAATTCAAACTCAATTGACATTAGCAGCAAATTCTCCCCAGTAAAACAAAGTATACAAGGAGGTGATTCACATTACAGATAAGAAATTTACCTTCTTATACAGAGGTCCAGTAGGAAGCCATCCTTTTGCTTGGCGACACAAACTGCAGTTACAAATTCCACGACAAACGGGACATATCCAATCGGGATTTTGTTGCGCTTCAAGAACATGCTCTCCATATCTGCAGGAATGAGAAAACAATGGGAATACTTGCAACCCAAGTATAAACTCCATGTCCCAGTTTCAGTGTTCTAAATCCACATAGAAAATTGAAAAGTTTTCATTTGCAAAAAGCCAAACAAATTGGAGTTTATACGGTTTATGCGATTGGAGACAGCACATCATATTTTCCAAAAACAAACATCCAAAGGAGAGAATATGAAATCCAATTGCAGAAAGAACTAAAAAGGAATGTTATCAAGAGTGTAGTACCTCATATACAGACAGTCTCCACAAAATTGCCCTTGGACCATGTTACATTTGCTGCAATGAGTGCGATGTCCTAATGTTTTTTGCCTGTAAATATAACACTTCCAATTTTCCATCAAAATAAAATCATAACACATGATATAATGCATTTTCCACTAGCTAACGAAGCTGTTCTTGATAGCACTGTTGAACAAAATCAGAGAACAATGCACAAATAGATAATAAGATCACACAAACAACAGTTTTCCAATGAAAATTTGAGAAAAATTTCATTTCGATGAACCTGCATTGATGGCACGTCTTTCCCTTTACTGGATCATAAATTCGTTTCCCATCGTTACCGTATCCATCCACAAATAGCGTCCAGCTCTTCTCTGTACTACCCAACACCTTCTCATGCTCTTCCGAGTACATCTCTGGCCTCGAGCCATCTTCAAGAACCACATCCTCCTCCTCAGAAAACTTGTTTTTCCTCTCGATTCGCAGTTCAGAATAAGTTACAGGCGTCACATTCTGCAACCTAAATCCGCCAAAAAAAATCATAATAGAAAAAACTATGAGGAAAATCGGAAGAAAACTGGACAAATATAGAATAAGATTATCGAATAAGAAAATAATAACTAATATCCTATTTGTATCCAAATATCAGAGAACGAGCACTGTCAGTTCCGATAAGGGCTAAGAACGAGAGATTTGGGATTCGGAGAAAACCTGGATGATCGGCGTAGGGGTCCGGTCGGCGGGAGGTCGAATGAAGGTGGAGAAGCTTTGGGAACAAGCGATTTTCGGCGATTTTTCTTTGAAGGAGCGGAGGTTTTGAGCTTGAGAGAGAGATCAGGAATGCCAAGTTTCTGCATGCGCTCCATGTTTTCTCTGATTCTCAACTCTCTGGACTGCTCGTACTGAGAAATCTCCGGCATCTGGGCGGCGGAAGGCTGGTCGATTTCCATTTGGGGTGGTTCCGATGAGGGTTTTGGAATTGGGGATTTCTCTATGCCGGAAGGTTCTGTCATATCTCTTACCGATGTCCTCGGTTCCTTCTTGTTAGTGCTTTTCCAATTAAAATTTTAACGGTCATATTTTTGGAATCCATAATTATTTATGCATTATATAAAATACAAATATTTTAATATTTATCCTATTTTAACTAAATATCCAAAATTAATACTAATATTTATCCTATTTTTATTTGTAGGAAGTCGAGCAAAGTGAAGTCGTTTTCAAGAAAATACAAAATCTTGTTTCTCGTACGTTACGTGACAAAAAGAACAGTTTTTTTCTCGTCTTTTCAGTTTGTTACTAGAGTCCGTTACATTTCTAATAGTGTTGAGATCATTAAAAGTTAGATAACGTCTTATCAAATTTCCGCTGTCGTGGAGCTCATGTTTTTGTATAGCTTTCTCAAAATATATATATATATATATATATAGTAATGTCTATATATAGTAAAATGAATTATAAATATATTCTATCCACGGTAGTATATTCATCAATATAAATCTCTAGCCGCCATGAAGTTTACCATCCCGATGTTACCATGTATATTTCTCTTTGTGTTTTCTTTCTCTTGTTCTTCTAGATTAGGTATGTGAGTTGCGCGATCCTAACATCTTGTATCAAAGTTAGGAGAGATTCACCAAAATCTGTGAAAATAGAAAGTTCAAAGATCGAAATCGAGAAGTTTGATGGATCTGATTTCGGTCTCTAGAAGATATAGATTGAAGATTGTTTATACTAGAAAGATCTTCACAAACCCTTGTATGCGGTGAATTTGGATTCCATGACCATGGAAAAGTGGAAGCTCTAGAATTGGCAAGCTCTAAGGTTGATTCAGTTGATGTTTGTCCAGAAACGTGGTGTTCACTATCGTCAAGGAGAAAACAACGTCGGATTTGTTGAAGGCGTTGTCGAATATGTACGAAAAAAAGAAGAAGCATGATCAGAAAGTGGGAGATGATAATGATTCTGCAAATTCAACGAAAAATACTAGGGATGCTTTAATTCTTGGTGTGGATAGCCTGGTTGAATCTTGGATTTTGGATTCGGGTGCGTCTTTTCATTCGTCTACAAACAAGCAACTGTTTGGTAATTTTGGGAAGGTGTGTCTTGTTGAAAACAAAATCTTGGAGATTGAAAGAAAGGATGATGTATGCATATAAACTCCGGTAGAAAATCAGCAGACATGTAAAAATGTTAGATATATTTTTTGTCTAAAAAAGAATCTGATCTTTATTGGTTAGGACACCACGCGTTATGAAACAAGGTTTAGGAAGAGCTTGTGGAAGATTGTGAAGGATGCTACGGTATTTGCAAATAGCACAAAATCTTAAACCTTATACACCACAGCAGAGTGTATAAACATAGTTGCTGTTGCAGAAATACTAGAGGGGTTTGAAATATGTTGATATGAGTTGTTGTGAGTTGCATTTTGGTCAAACAAAAACAAGTTAGCTTCACAAACGTAGCCAAAGAACCGAAGAAAGTACGATTGAAAACTGTACATACAAATGTTTTGGACCATCTCGAGTTTCATCATTTGGTGGATCCAAGTTTTACATCACCTTTATTCATGATTTCAACAGAAAAATATGAGTTTATTTCTTGAAACACAAGTCAAATGTGTTTGCTACCTTCAAGAGGTGGGAGGTGGAAAGCTGAAGTTGAAAATTGGATAGATTTAAAGATCAAATACCCGAGATTTGACAATGGTGAAAAGTGACAAGTCAAACGTCAAAGCATCCTGTGCAACAGAGGAAATCAGATTAATGAGGAGAGTTTCCAGCAAGGCAAGACAAAATGGTGTTGTTGAAAAGATGAACAAAACATTAAATGAGTAGACAAGGATTATGAGGATTTATTCTAGGTTGCCAAAGACATTTTGGATTGTGAATACAACATCTTACTTGATCAATAGAGGGTCATCTGTATCCTTAGAGTTCAAGTTGCCAAAAGAGGCATGGACTTGAAAGCAACTCAAATATTTTCACTTGAGAACTTTTGGTTGCACTACATTCATGTTGTTCTAGAATAGAGTGACAAGCTTAATGCTAAGGCTAAGGCTGTGAATTGCTACTTCATAGTCTATGGTTCTAACATGTTTGAATATAAGTTTTGAGAAGACATTAAGAAGCAAATAGGAGTTGAGGTAGATTTGTAGAGAGATTCACCCAGTAATGTTGTAGCAGACTGTTGCTGAAAAACTAGAGGTGGAGTACGGGACACTTGAGCAGGTGTTGAGGACATCATTATGAACCATTAAAACACTAAATAGATATTAAATTTTATTACACTATTTATTGCTGATTGATAAACTGAAACAAGAGTCCCTTGATGAGGCCTTACAAATGGATGATTCAACCAAGTGAGAACAAACCATGGATATGATGAAATGAACTCACTTGAAAAGAAAAGAATAAACATGTAGGTGTTGATAGAGTTGCCTATAGGATAGAACGCTTTGTTGAACAAGTGGGTGTTCAGAATCAAGGGTGAACTAGGTGGCAAAAAGAGGTTCAACACTCGATTAGTAGTTAAAGGATAATCACAAAGAAAAGTATTGATTATGTTGAAATCTTTTCTCCTGTTGTGAAATTAACTACTATCCGAGTACTGTTGCATCAGTGAACTTGCACCTTGAGTAAAGGGATGTAAAAACAGTGTTTTTACATGGATACCTAGATGAGAAGATCTATATGCAGGAATCATAAGGGTTTTATCATTTCAAGCAAGAAACACATGGTGTGCAATCTCAATAAGAGCTTGTATGGATTGAAACAATCAACAAGACAGTGGTATAAGAAGTTATGACTCCTTTATGTGCGAGAGTGATTTTCACGAGAGTGAAAAGGATCAATGTTATTTTTTTCAAGAAATACATTAATTCTCATGTGTTTTTTAGGATCCAATATGAGAGAGATAAACTACATGAAGGCAAGCATATTTTCAATATTTGAGATGAAAGATTTAGGTGCAACAAAGTAGATTTTTCAGATGAGAACTTCTCGAGATAGATTTGCTGGCACATTAAATCTATCCGAGGAGCAATATATTGAGAAAGTGTTGTCCATATTCAGGATGAATGATGCTAAACCTAGGACTACCCCTTTGACAAATCATGTCAAATTGCCAAATAGACAATCCCCCAAGACAGCTAAAAGGTTGTGAGCAAATGACATTAGTTCCATACGTTTTTTGTAGTTGGGAGCTTAATGTATGGCTATGGCCTGCAAATTATTTGTAGGTACATAGTAACCTAGGGGAAAGAATATTGGAAAGTGTGAAGTAGCTTTTGAGACATCTAAGAGGTACATCTAGTACTTCACTCTGACATAGAAATGACAAAGTAATTCTACTCGGTTTTACAGATGTTGATCTTAGTGCTGATGTAGACTCTAGCACGAGCAATCTAGATATATCTACACTATATATGGAACAAAAGTGAGTTGGATCTCTAGGCTTCATAACTTTTTTGCTTCTTCATCTAGTGAGGTCTAAGTACACAGACAATAGTTGAACATGGAAAGAAGATGATATAAATGACAAATTATCTAGAAGAGAGTTAGGTAAGAGTAGTTTGAGAAGATTATTTTTACAAATAGTCAGAGTATCATACAAGTGGAAAATTGAAGTTGTGCAAAGCCATGATTGATCTTTTGTAACTTTTTCGAACGGTGTTGTGATGATATTGATGATGACGAGAATTTGAAGTCTTAAATTGATGGTATGGTAGGTTAGCCCACCAAAACTCAATCCAATTTACTCCATCATAGCGTTATGAAGATTGTCAAATGAACAGCTGAACCAACTTCCACTTACTATGTGTTCCAAACATAAATTCTCCCACCATTACGTTGCCCATTGCATAGATTATTCATTTCTTAGTCGAACTTGATGAACAATAAAATCTTTTTTCTTGTCATCCGGACGAAGATGCGATTTTAAAAATAAAATCATGGCGATTCTTATTTTAAGTAAACAATATCGTACCCATTGTAGAGGTACTCGAGGATCTCAGGTAAATACGTTCATCCACCCGAATTCTTTGGCAAGGAACTTTCCTGATCGGGCAATAAATCTGATAAGCTACCCCATCAAAGTCAGAAACTTTTGAACAAGAACAGAAAAGTCAAGCCAAATGTGTCCTTTTGAACAAGAACAGAAAAGTCAAGCCAAATGTGGCTTAATTCAAACAATAACTTGCATAAGTTTTATCAAATGGGAGTCTAGTGGCCTTAAGAAAGCCAAAAGATAGATGCCCACCAATGCCATGCAAGACATTACTGCTTATATATAAACATAAAATGGGTTTGTCTCTATGGTAGCGATGGGAGGCTGTAAAATGATCGTTGGTTTGATCTTGATGGGGTGTTTGCTGGTTAATAATGGAGTCGATGGAGCGAACAAGAAGGTGGACGTTGGAGCGTCGTTTATATTTGGCGATTCACTGGTTGATGCAGGAAATAATAACTATTTATCGACCTTGTCTAAAGCTAATCTTCGTCCCAATGGCATTGATTATACTCTTTCTGGAGGCAACCCCACTGGCCGCTTTACCAACGGTCGAACCATCGGTGACATCGTCGGTAAGTGCTTCTTACTACCGTATATACTTTTTATTATTGAGGTATAAAGTTAGTGTTTATCTGGTCTATTTCAAAACAAATACTTAAGTCCTTCAACTCAACGAAAATTGAACCTTAAATTACATAATATGTTTAATTCCTCCCTATCATGAAACTGTTCCTTATCCACTCGGGTACCAAATCCCACCATTTTCTATTCAAATGGGGTGGACTTGACCGCTTCGATCCTGTCTTGCGCTTTTGACGGCCAATAGTGTTCTGTTAGATAGAAACAGATTTGATAAATACTGATAACAGTCGGATAGTATAGACCTGCTTCGTAAGACTCATTGACTGAATAGAGACGAATAGTGAATTAAATTAGTTTTTTTTTTTTTTTTGTTAATTATTAACCTGGTTAAAAGTTTGATGGGAGTTGGTTGGTTGCAGGTGAGGAGTTAGGAATACCAAACCACGCAGTGCCATTTCTAGACCCAAACGCCACCGGCAAATCAATATTGTACGGCGTTAACTATGCATCCGGCGGTGGCGGAATTCTCAATGCAACCGGAAGGATCTTCGTATGAAATTTCTCCTCTCTTTTTTTAATTATGTTTAATAGTTTTGATAATTTTTTAACTTTATTTTTAATTTAAAGATATTAAGATATTGATAATAAAAAATTTAGAAATATTTTTATTAATTTTAGGCAACAAAACAATTATTTAAAAGAGAAAACAAAAACTGTATGTGTGAAAAAGACAATCTCTTCAGGAATATTGAAAATAAAACTAAAAAATATAAAATTAAAGAGAAAACAATTTTTTTTAATACTAAATTATAATAAATACTCCTCAAAGTTAGAAAAAAATATTTGAGAATCTTTATAAGTTTCAAAAATACTTTAAATAAATGTTAAAAAATATCATTTTCATTAATTTTTTAATTGAATCGTTCCTACTTTATTTAATAAATACCATGACCTTTCAAAGTTTCATTAACTCACACGTAACTATTAAACATCATTCTTTTGTGAGAAACACAAAACAAAATGCTCGATCAACGTGTCATAAAAATTACTTATTTTGAAAGACTTATTCGGGTGGAGGGATATTTATAGTCGATGATAGATATGTAGACTAGACTTATTTCTAAAATATCTGTATTAGGATAGTGATAATATTTTAACAGTTCTCCTCACGACTTGTCCTCATTTACCATACCACATTGGTCATCCGTCTTCTATAATAGTTGTTGTAACATACTTAGGATTTGTTTTTTGGATTCTTTTTTATCATCTAAGTTGTTGAAGTGTCATATCCTTTTCACCGAGTTTTCTTGGTTGAATCCCTTCTTGCTCATCAACATCAGTGTCACTTGGATTTTCAAGCGCATCAACACTTAGTAAATACGCGTAGTTTGCTCCCTCATCTTTTGTTGTAGAATTTCTTCAATGTTATTCAAATTTGGTAAGACTTTTTTACCCGAAGACTACCGTGAAGATGTTTCATAAAAAAATCTACATATCTTATAGTGTAGCATCTTCCACCTGATCACAACACTTCCACCCCTATTCTTTAATTGTCATATCCAACAAACATACATTTGTTGCTTTCTTGTCAAACTTGTTGCATAGATGACCAAACACAAATACCTAGCAAACACAACTGAATTTTTGGAACTAACTAACAGTAGGTTTCATGTCTCATAATGTCTCAAATGGTGAGATGAAATGGTTTCATGTCTCATAGTGTCTCATTGGTTGGAGAAGCTTATTGACCAAATATGCAACAGTTTGCATAGTTTCGGCCTGAAATCTTCTTGAAATATTCTTTGCATGTACCATGCTTTGACAAATGTCGATTCTTTCTTTCTTTCTTTCTGTTATACCATTTTGTTGTAGCGTGTTTGACAAAAATATACTTTCTTGGCTTGTAATTTCCTCTGCTTGCCAGCCCTGTGGTTTGAGCATCCTAAATAAATGATCTAGTTATTCTCGTAATAGATATGCTCTCCCATCATAGCCATGAGTGCTAGCACTTCTTCTTCTAAGACACGTAGTACCTCTATATCCCATTCATCATCCATCTCCATTTTGGAGGTTGTTCATTGCTTTCGACAAACTTTTTCTTGGACCAACAATCCTTGGACATGTGACCTTTCTTTCCGCAATTGTAGCAAATACCTTCAAATTTCTTTTTTTTTTTTTGTAGAAGTCTGTTGTCATTCTTCTAAGCTCTCCTAGGTTCTTCGAATTTTTTGGTGGCTTCTTTCGTTGTCACCATTTTTGTATCCACGCAACTTATTGTTGCTCCAATTTATACTTGAGTATAGTGCTTTTTCTTAAGTCTTCCGCGAGATGCCTCTCCTTTGCTTAGCTATGACTTCTTGGGCAGCTAGCAAATTTTCAAACCCTATAAATGATGGTTGTATGGGTCATCCTTGTACAACAATAACAAAACTTCTATACTTTGGTCGCAATCCGTAGATGATGATGATCATCTTCATTCAAGCTTCTCCAATGATAGACTCCAAATCAAGTTTCGTAACCTCTCCTATGGAAGTACTAAGTAATCGCCGTGTCGTGTTGTGAGATTGATAAGAGCTAGTTCTCCAAAATTGTAGCACCGTATCATTCTTCTTTGAAAAAAGTGTCACTAATGTGTCTCATGCTTCGTTTGGTGAATGTGCTCTAACATCTCTTCTTAGACAAGGGTCCTCAAGGCAAACCTTTTTTATTTGCTTTGATTCTGCATTTGCAAAAGGCACCATTAGCGTCTCCTCTGACGTCGTAATTTCGCTTCCGCCAACAACCTCCCAAAGGTCTTATCCTTATAGATAGGATATCATGTATATTGCTCACATGTAGATGTTGTTGCTGTTGAGTTTTTTATTTTTTTATTTTTATTTCGTTGACAAGTTGGAGACCAACCATCGTGTTGAGAGTATCTTAGTAATAATACCAAACAAGCTAGTTTTTTAACCTAACTTGCAAAGTCACGTACTACTCACAATTACAAAAAAAAACTCACTCACTGATAATCTCAAGGAACCGTTGGTTAGTGATTGCGTGCTCATCAAATTATTGAGTTCAACTAATACGTAATAATGAGCAGGTAAACAGACTGGGAATGGACGTTCAAGTCGATTTCTTCAACATTACAAGAAAACAGTTCGATAAAATCTTGGGTCCATCAAAAGCAAGAGATTACATATCCAAAAAGTCCATAATTTCCATCACAATCGGAGCCAACGATTTCTTGAACAATTATCTCCTTCCGGTGCTCTCCATCGGCGCCAGAATCTCCCAAAGCCCCGACTCCTTCATCGATGACATGATCGCTCATCTCAAGAACCAGCTCACTGTCGGTATCATTTCTTTCCTTCAAAATAAAATCACATTACTTTACAAATAATTTAGTCATTGATGCAGAGACTTTACAACATGGATGCTCGAAAGTTCGTGGTGGGGAATGTCGGGCCCATCGGATGCATACCCTATCAGAAGACCATCAACCAGTTGAACGAAGACCAATGCGTTGATTTGGCCAACAAATTGGCACTTCAATACAACGCCAAGTTGAAGGATTTGCTTGCCGATCTCAACAAAAAACTCCCTGCCTCCACTTTTGTGTATGCCAATGTCTATGACCTTGTCATGGACCTCATCGTCAACTATGACAATTATGGTAACTACTCTATATTTCTTTCTCTTCTTTAAAGTTCCTTTTGTTTTGCCATTTTTATTAAAAGGGTTCGTAGGTTGAGTTGGAGTTGAGTCGGATTAAAATCCTTTTCTAGGCTCAACTCAAATGTTCGGATTATAAATTATTATTATTATTATTATTATTTTGTAGTAGCAGCTCAAACTTACCATAGATATCGTCCCCTTTGGGTTTTCCCTTATGGGATTCCCCTCAAGATAACACCTAGCAAATGTTTTCTTTTTTCGGGTTAAAAAATAGTGTTCTATTTGGTTTTTCCCTTCTTAACTTCCCCTTAAAGTTACTACGGGCAAATATGGTCTTTTTTGGCTTTCCTTCTCGAGCTTCCACTCAAGGTTACTGCTAGCAAATATTGTGCTCTTTGGGCTAGCAAATATTGTTCTATTTGGGTTTTCCCTTCCGTACTTCTCCTCAAGGTTACTCCTGGCAGATATTATTCGTTTTTAGTTTTTCCTTCCAAGCTTCCCCTCAAGGTTTACTCGTAGCAGATATTGCTTTTTTTTAGCTTTCTCTTCCAGGCTTCTTCTCAAGGTTACTCCTAGCCGATATTGTTTTTTTTTAGTTTTCCCTTCCAGGCTTCCCCTCAAGCTTATTACTAACAAATATTATCCTCTTTGTGCTAGAAAATATTGTTCTATTTAAGTTTTCCCTTTCGAGCTTTCCCTCAAGATTTTAAAACGAGTTGTCTAGGGAGAGGTTTCCACACCCATATAAGAAATACTTTGTTCCTCTCTCCAACCAATGTGGGATATCACTATCCACTTCCTCGAGTGCCAGCATTCCCGTTGGCACACCATTCAGTGTCTGGTGTCTGGTTCTGATACCATTTGTAATAGCCTAAGCTTCCCCTCAAGTTTTAAAATGCATCTACTTGTGAAAGGTTTCCAAACCTTTATAAGGAAGGTAACCAAGGTGAGATCTCACATTTTTAATCCCAAATAATTTTTATTATACAATAAACCCAACACAACTCAAATAACCAACCCAATGCATAAAATTTTCATTTATTTGAATTAATCCAATTTAAGTAAGTTCATAATCCAACCAATTTAAGTAAGTTCACAATTCAACCCAAACGATACAAGTTAGATTTGACTCATGTTTTTTTTGGATCGTCTGATTTCTTGAACACCCTAATTTTTATTTCTTAGTATATATAATTGCAAAAGTGTATATAAATTTGAGATGACTTGATTCAACTCAATCTAATTTTAGGAGAATCTAAGAGTTAATTGGGGGAAGTTTTTTTTTTCTTAGGTAACCTAGTTTTTGAACAGTTTATTTCTTAAAATGTTTGGGATGGTGTGATATTGCAAATAAAACTATATATTTATAGGGTTCAAGACGGCTAGTAGAGCGTGTTGTGGGAATGGAGGGCAGTTTGCAGGTATAATACCATGCGGGCCTCAATCAAGCTTGTGCACAGAGAGATCAAGGCATGTGTTTTGGGATCCTTACCATCCCAGTGAAGCTGCCAATCTCATTATTGCCAAGAAATTGCTGGATGGAGACCATAAATACATCTTCCCTCTTAATCTTAGACAGCTTCGCGACCTCTAATAGTCATAATCAGGAACAACAAAGCTCCAATTTGAGTATATTACTGATCATTTCGTTTTTAACATGCTTTGGATTGCCTTTACACTGTTTGATAATATGCCCCAATCTTGCTTTTTCTTTACATTCTTTTGCTTGGATTGTCATCTTCTTTTGAGTATTCTCTTCCATAAATTCCATTGAGATGATACCATTTAAGTAACAAGAAAGAAAAAAACAAAATAATATGTGAGATTCAATGTTGGAATGTTGGATGGGAGGAGAATGAACCATTACCTCTAAAGGAAAAACTGAAAGGAAAAGCTCAAAGAGGATAATATTGGTTAGTGGCGGGCTTGAGCTATTTTAAATGGTATTAAAGCCCGTCACTGAGGTATGTGCTAGCGAGTAGGCTGAGCCTTGAAAGGGGTGGACATGAGGCGATGTACCAACAAGGACGTTGGACCCCGAATGCGGTGGATTGGAGGAGTCCCACATCATATTAGAGAAAAGAATGAGTGTCGCTGGGCCTCGAAATGGGTGGATTGTGAGATCCCACATCAGTTGGGGAGGAGAATGAAGCGTTACTCCTCCATGGCAAGCGTTTTAAAAATCTTGAGGAAAAGTACAAAAATGACAATATCGGTGGATATGAGTTATTACAAATGGTATCAGAAACAGACACGAAACGATGTGTCAACAAATGGCTGAGCCCCGAAGGGGGAAGGGGGTGGACACGGAGACTAGACGCGTTTTAAGAATCTTGAGGAAAAATTTGAGAGGAAAGCCCAAAAAGGATAATATCTATGAGTTTGGCCTAAAAGGGGTGGATTTTGAAATCTCACCAATTGAAGAGGAGAACGAAAAATTACCTCTTATTGGCAGATGCGTTTTAAAAACTTAGAGAGGAAACTCGAAAGGAAAAGCTCAAAGAGAACAATATCTAGACTCGTACCGTTAAATAATCATACCTAAGACATCATAATGATGGAGCTTTGTGCGCCTATTTTTGCATGCCGGATGTGTTTCTCCGGGAAGCACATGGTTGAATGGCGTATTCCATCTAATGCACACCAGCCATCTTCCTAGGGCTGGCGGAAGCCACCCACGGCAGCGGTGGTCCAGTGTGCAAGAGATGGAATATACCACAAAGCCATGGAAGGAATGAATATGGGTGAAGTAGATGGAGTTTAATAGCTTTTATATAGAAAAGAAGGAAGTTTTGAGTATGAATTGTTTAGGTGAATAAGGGTTTGACTTACTGTTTGCTTTTCTTTTTCCCCCTTTTTGTGAAATCACGTGTACGAATGACAACAAATTTGACGACCCTTTTCATAACAACTTCCATTTTTCTCGATTTTGGTTAAAAAAATGTGCACCCATAAAGTTTCAGGTAGTGGAATCATGAGCTGTTTTATTAATTAGCCATTATACCTCAATAAGCTCTTATTCATAAGAGTCCAAAAATAAAGTATTATATGTTGGAAAGAAAGAGTTGAATACGTTAGTGTATATATGACATTCGAGTAAATGAGAAGTACATGAATTAACCAAATCCACATTTAAACAAGAATGATCATGATAACAGAATGACTTATAAAAGCTTAAAAGAATTGAAAGTGACTGTCAATCCCAATAAAGTGCACATTTCTTTTTGTGATTCATTATAGAAATTTCATGGTTAAACGTGTTTTACTTGGGTGCATGTGAGTGAAGATAAAACATGGTGAAAGGACTCGTGTTGGTCTATAGGGATAATTTTCACTCTTAATAAGTGATGAGTAGGTAACGTAACCATGACATGGGAATGTCGAAGTCATCAGGTGTCGAATCTGGATTTCGAAATTTTGGCATGGATTATTACAATATGATTCGTTGTGATTGCAACGACCCTACTTTTTCATTTAAAAATAAGACTGTCATTACTTATATGTCGTGATTATTATGTGTGAAAAATCATTTAAAACATTTCATTTTAAACGTTGTCCTGAGCTTAAATGTTCCAAAAATTATTGAAATCAGTGAAAATAACTTCTACCAAAGTTAAAAAGAACTTCAATGGCCTCTTCCTAACCTAGGACTGTAACTTTCCAGAGTTGATGTCATCATCGGTATAGAAGTGTTTTAGAAATTTAACTATCCTAACTATATTTTCATGATAACTATAGTTGATATATGAGTGTCTTATCTTTACGGAAAAAATAGTAAGCATGGTTTGAGTATTTAAAAATAGACAATAAATAGCCCTACTATTGCTACTCCTTAGTCTCTAATTTCTTTTTGAAGCAAGATTAGATGCGTAGTACTCCTATACACATGGTTTACACACGAGCACATAAACTCACTAGGCGGACTTGTATACGTACCCCTAGATTTGATTACAGGCTAGCATAAATTTGTTTCCAAAAGTCATGGGAAAGGAGCACATATCATATCATGGTGTACGCATCCGTATATAACATATTGCGAATGTATCTCGTATTTGTGACATACAATATACTGAGATCTTGTGTTTCAAATCATGGCATATAGTTGTGATGCACATCTTCCACTACTAGAGTTACACCGAACATGACATTTTCTGTTTCGAGTTTTGATATCTCAAAATTGTTCCCTCACTTTTATGGGTTTGATTTCACAATTTGGTATACATAAACAAGCCAAAACATCAAATAGTTTAGAACTGAACAAAAGAAACGTGGTGTTTGTTAGGAATCACGACTCTCCACAATGGTATGATATTGTCCACTTTGAGCATAAGCTCTCATGGCTTTGCTTTGGGCTTCCCCAAAAGGCCTCATACCAATGAAGATAGTATTCCTCACTTATAAACCCATGATCTTCCACTAAATTAACCAATGTGGGACACTCCCAATCCCAATAATCCTCAACAATCCTCCCCTCGAACAAAGCACACTATAAGCCTCCCCTGAGGCTTATGGAGCCTCGAATAGCCTCCCCTTAATTGAGGCTCGACTCCTTCTCTGGAGCCCTCGAACAAAGTACACCATTTGTTCGACACTTTAGTCACTTTTGACTACACCTTCGAGGCTCGCCATTCTTTGTTCGATATTTGAGGATTCTATTGGCATGGTTAGGTTTAGGGCATGGCTCTGATACCATGTTAGGAATCACGACTCTCCACAATGGTAGATATTGTCCACTTTGAGCATAAGCTCTCATGGCTTTGCTTTGGGCTTCCCCAAAAGGCCTCATACCAATGAAGATAGTATTCCTCACTTATAAACCCATGATCTTCCACTAAATTAACCAATGTGGGACACTCCCAATCCCAATAATCCTCAACAATCCTCCCCTCGAACAAAGCACACTATAAGCCTCCCCTGAGGCTTATGGAGCCTCGAATAGCCTCCCCTTAATTGAGGCTCGACTCCTTCTCTGGAGCCCTCGAACAAAGTACACCATTTGTTCGACACTTTAGTCACTTTTGACTACACCTTCGAGGCTCGCCATTCTTTGTTCGATATTTGAGGATTCTATTGGCATGGTTAGGTTTAGGGCATGGCTCTGATACCATGTTAGGAATCACGACTCTCCACAATGGTAGATATTGTCCACTTTGAGCATAAGCTCTCATGGCTTTGCTTTGGGCTTCCCCAAAAGGCCTCATACCAATGAAGATAGTATTCCTCACTTATAAACCCATGATCTTCCACTAAATTAACCAATGTGGGACACTCCCAATCCCAATAATCCTCAACAGTGTTCTTGTTAGAACAAATGTAGTGAGATTGCTTGAGCTGTCGGAGAAGATGCCATTTTATATCTGTAAAGCTGTAATATGACATTCCATATTGTCACACTAATATTCTTCTTGTCGGCCTCTACCTATTCTTTTTATGTAACAAATTATTAAATTCCCTTTTCGATCCAACTTTTCTAATTTGTGTAACTTTCAATAGTTCTATTCAATAATTCTATTTTTCCATTCCTTCAATTGACTTTCATCAGTTTCCATTCTTTTATTTCCATCATAAAAATATTTTTGGACGTCGAAATTGAACATCATAGCATGAATTTATTTATCTCACTAAGTTAAAAATGAAGGATTTATTGACCTGACTAAGTTACAAATGGTATTAGAGCTAGATATCGGGCGATAGTGTGTTAACAAGGACGTTGAGTCTCGAAGGAGAGTGGATTGGGAGTCCCACATCGATTGGAGAAGGGAACGAGTGCCAGAGAGGCAATAGAGTTAGTACGTTTTTCATAATGAACAGAACCTTTCAAAGAAATACAATCAAAGAACTAAACCCTAGTCCTCCCAAAGCCATATTAGCCCTAGAAGCTAGACTAAAAAGTTTTGAAAATGGGAGTCCAAGATATAAAGTGTCAAGATGCCCTAAAGCACCTAGTTTACCACCAAAGATTAAGATAATTTACTAATTGTCGTTGTGAATGGGTATAACCCGAGCCAAAACTACTTATGGGTATCACTTGAGCCAAACTACTTATTTCCTTTGATACCTTATTAGTGCTATTAGTGACCTAGATTGGACCTAACAGTGTCTTGACTGTGCAGTAGGATTTAGGAACCCTTAGCGTAACACTTGAGCCCCAACAAGAAATTAACACTTGAGCTAGAAGAGAAAGATGTTGAGTATTATTGGGAGGGGTAGTCTCACACTTACTATAACTAAGGGGAAGATCATGAGTTTATAAGTAAGGAACATTGTTCTCCATTGGTATGAGATATTTTTTAAAACCAAAAGTAAGACCATGAGAGTTTATGCTCAAAGTGGAGGGTCGTGATTCCTAACATGATATCAGAGTCCTATCTTTAACTTATTCATGTCAATAGAATCCTCAAGGGTCGAACAAAAAAGTTAAAGTTTTGAGCCTCGAAAGTATAGTTAAAAGTGACTCAAGTGTCGTACTTCATTAGAAGGCTTTAGAGAAGTCAAACCTCAATTGCGGGGAGACTGTTCGAGGGCTCCAGAGACATTAGGAGAGACTCTATGGTGTACTCTAGACCACCAATTTTTCAAACGTAAGATCTTCGTTCTCGAAATCTATCCATTCCTTCTACTACAATGTT